CCTTATGAGGAAAGGCTGATGGAGCTGGGCCTCTTGAGCTTGGAAGAGAGGAGACTGAGGGGTGACCTAATGAATGTTTATAAATACGTGAAGGGTGAGTGTCAGGAGGATGGAGCCAGGCTCTTCTCTGTGACATCCAGTGACAGGACAAGGGGCAATGGGTTCAAGCTGGAACATAGGAGGTTCCACTGGAATATGAGGAAAAACTTCTTTACAGTGAGGGTGACAGAGCACTGGAACAGGCTGCCCAGAGAGGTTGTGGAGTCTCCTTCTCTGGAGACATTCAAAGCCTGCCTGGCTGTGTTCCTGTGGGATCTGATCTAGGTGTTCCTGCTCCGGCAGGGGGATTGGACTAGATGATCTTTCGAGGTCCCTTCCCATCTCTAATATGATTCTGTAAGAAGATCCAGAGATGGATCTGATCCCAGCCTTGTGGGTGAGACCTGAGCTGGGAGGCATTCATCTGACTTAACCTTGGTTTTATTGGTGTTCTGTGATGGCATCTACCCCTGGGCATTTCGGGAGAAGGGAGAGAAAAGGAGACATTCACATTGGATGGAAATAACATGTAGTCCTTCCAATCTCCTCCTTTGCCCTGTTGCTTAAAACAGACATTTCTGTTCAAAGTCAGGCTTTGTGGTCAGACACGAGCTCAACCCCATCACCCCTTCTCTGCCTGCTTACCTCCCCCTCTGCTCTCTGCCCAGTGCAGTTTCCATGTGCCCGAAATGGGAAATCCATCCGGGCAAACCTGTATGTCTGCAGTCAGTGAGGAGGAGCTGGTCCGTTTTTATCTCCAGCTACTGTCAGATCTGCTTTCATACTTTGCAGTTCTCCCTTCCCAGCTCTGTGCTGTGATTCCCTTCCCACCCACCCGTCGCACAGCTCTGCACACAAATAATACCTTGTCACCAGACTGTCAACAAGTCCTCGCTGAGCACATGTAGGATCTCCTGGTTTACGGCAGAAATTTCCAATTGTAGCATAGCCTTCACTGCCACAAGAGGTATTTTGCAGATGTTTTTTCAAGTCAAAAACACAGCATTTATCAAAACAAAAGTATTTGCGTCCTTGTTTCTACATAATTTAGTCCATCGTATCACTAACCCTGGGAGAAGTGTTGATTTTTATTTTTCCTCCTCTGCGGAGCTGTGTGTACTTCTTTTGTATCTTTTTTGAAAATGTACCAAAATCATAGAATCGTGGAATGGTTTGGGTTGGAAGGGACCTTAAAGATCATCAAGTTCCAGCCATGTGTTAGTACTTGTAACAAACATTCTCCCCTCTCTAGGCATGCAAAGCCAAGCTGCCGTGCAGCCTGGTGCAGAAGTGAGCCATGCCATTCCACAGCGGGCATTTCCCCGCTCCCCACGGGGAGGTTGGCCGTACAGCCTCCTGTTGTGGAGCCATTTTCATCACTTCATTGCCATTCTATCTGAAAGATGCGTATTCCTGAGCAAAGGTTATCCTGTCTCTCTGAAAATCTTGTTCACCCGTCACGCCGGGGAATCCTGAGCCAGTTGCATACCATGAAACTCCAACCCTGAACCCACAGCCCCCCCATGCCGAGCGGATCTTTAAAGAAAGTGTTTAGATACTGCTTGGGTGAGGAGAAGCTGTTTATTGAAAATAAGTTTGGTTAACCTTAAAGGAACTTTGCCTTTAGACATCTAAGAATGTGTTTATCATACAGCCATGATCTGAAGATTTCTTTGTTTCTGTTTTGAAGAGGAGTGGCAGAATAGCTCACTGGTACAATGAAGCAACTTGTTTTCCATCTACAGGGAATTAAGTTTAAGTGCATTTCTGTAACGTCTATAAATACTGGAATAAAGAACAAAATTAATTTTTATCGCCATTGCAGGTTTGAGGAGCTATAAGGCACCTGTTGAGATGCAAAGCGGGATGTACGATAGCAAATACATTTTCAGAAATAGATGGAGTGATTTGCATTGTTAAAAAAAAAATAATTTAAAGGAGGTGGACTGGAAGAGTTCCTAATGTGCTCAAGAACTTTGTAAGAGATCAGAATGGGACAGAGAGCAAGTATCCCTGCAGGGAAGGGAATGGGCAGGCTGGATTTTTGCTGGTATTTTTATTTATAATTGTACTTCAAAGCAGTGGTTTCTTTTTGTGAGAAGTAAATAATGAATGGTGATACTTTTAACCTCCTACATTAGACTCTGCGTCTCATCTCCCAGAGGACTGGCAGTATATAAAATACAGCGTTCATGGCATCGTTAAAGGGAGCAGCTTGTAAAACTGTCTGTTTACTCATGGTGATTCAAGGAACAGACTGGACAAGAAGGAATTACAGTTGTTAAGTTCAGGTTGAAATCAGACTCTGATGAGAGCCTGGCAATGAATCCAGGACACTTTAAGGGTTTTTTTTCCTGTCTCAGTAATGCCTGCTTCCCTCTCGACCTGAAGAACTGAAGGGAATACCTTGGAAAATCAAAGCAGTCTGGGCAGTGCTGCAAAAACTTTAATTTATGAGCAAGTAGCGGGGAGCTGTAATCAGATAAACTCCGTAGTCATACATTTGATTTTGAATGCTGCCACCTGCCATTGTGCTAAACCCAAAGGGCGTTTGAGGGGGAAGTCTTTTACAGGAAAAACTGCAAAACAGGAGATCAAAAGGCAGTCGATGGGCCTGTGATAACAGGGGACTCGCAAACTGCTGCCAGCACCTCATAGGAAATTTTTAAAAACATTGTTCAGAAACAGTTCTGCTTGTGCATCATCTTTCTAATTAAAAAGAATCCCTTTGTTCTTGTGCTTTTGCAAACAATATTTGCATGAATCCTGGCTCCCTGCCCGGTGAAGTTGTGATAGTACGGCACAAAATCCTCTCTGGAGGTTGGGTTTTTCCCAGCAATCGGTCCTGATGCTACAGGAGACTCTGGATATGCTACTGGTGGAGACAGACTAATGAAAAAATCCAGTGCTAATAAATTACAAATCAGGAATATTTTTTTTTCTGTAAACCATATTTATTTGATCCTGACATTAAATAGTCCTTAAGCCGAGGTGTAGGTAGGTGCAAGGCTGCTGGGAATGCCAGCACGGGAACGCACAGTTACTGATATGGTGATTAAGTTTTTTTCTTCTTCCAAAAGTATGAGCAAGACTTTAAAAACAACCAATTGCTTCTGCTTGGTTGGATAACTGAACCAGAGTAATTTTTCCAAATTCATCACACCTTGTCTGTGGCTTTTGCAACATCCTTTACGGGTCTAAACAGCACAAATGGACATTCTGTTTTCTCGTCTTTCTTCATGTCCTCTCTCCCCTTCCTTGGATCTTCAGCCCTTTCCACACCAAAAATCAACATTTTCTGGCTTTCATTCTTTTAAACACTCTGAAGGTGTTTAATCCTGAAAATTTCTGGGGTTAGGCCAGATGAATGTTTGAAAAGAGCAGGAATTCTGGGCGGTGCTGCTGAGATGTCAAACTCTGTCATGAAGTGCGGACACCTGTATTTGTTCAAAAAGCCCATGACGGCGATTTCCTCCTAAAGAATAAATGCAGAATTATTCTGATTTGCCTCTTGGTTATTCTTTGAGACTTCTTCATGCTTTCCCAACACTATGCTAGAGCTGGGGCTGCTTTTTTCCAGAAAAAAAACTCCCCCAAACAGCAATTGTTGTTTTCACGTAATGGCTCTGTGAGCCTGGGCTTAAAGGACAAAAATCAGAATATTGTGAAACCGCTGGTGCTGTCACAACAGTTGGCAACGCTGCTCACTGACCTCAGGAGGGGCGAGTGCTGCTGGAGTCTGTATCGCAGCTTCAGCTGTCGAGCTCAGCAGAGTCCTCCCCAGCGCCGGGGAGCCCAGACTGCTGCCAGCTGGCCGCACTGGTTTGGAACAACGGATGGCGAGGAGGTTCTGCCCACGTGGAGAGAGTGGAAGTGCCTCTCGTACACGCCTGCTTCGTGACAGGGCTCAGTTTTCAGTCCAAGTTTTGATGGCACAAAGGTCCCTATTTCCTTTTTTATTTTTTTCCATTTCACTCATGCATATGTTCCCCCGAGGTAGCAGGGATAGTTTTTTGAGTAAGAAAATCAGGATTTAACCCCATAAACGTCATTTCACTCCTCTTGCAGCCTATGTTGGGGTCTCAGAGATTTTCAAGAATTAATCTGTTGTCTTGTATGCAGAAGAGTAATATTACTTCACAGGTAGCAGAACTGAAGCAGAATCTGACTTTTCTTCTACTTGAAATTTTGTGGTAAGGCTGATGACTGTGTTCGTTTATTTGTTGATTTTGCTGTTGGTTTTTTCCTCTAGTCTGGTACTTTATCCACTGAAAAGCATTTCTGCTTTTCCTACTGGCTGACCTCCTGTTGATCGACTCATCTCAGTAAAGAGCAGAAACCCATGTTGATGCCGGGCTGACTAATTTCCAAAGCCTTTCCGTGATAAATGTGTTTTATTGCCAATAGGTGGGAGACAGGATTCCATCTGTCAGCCAGGGAGGGGGGCTGGGACACGGAGGATCTGTCCTAAAAGCAGCTGTAGGAAAGGATGCTTAGGCTGAGGTTTATCCTCTGTTGTTTTCACTCCTGATGGAGGAAGAACCAGTGAAAGGAAAAGTGGAGGTGCTACTATAAAATGTGTGTATTGTCTGCTGGAAGGATGTGCAGGCTCGTACATGGTCCCAGCTGCTCTGAAGGATCCACGAGGATGCTGTTTCCTCGCTCTTTAAAGACTCACACTGTGGCAGTTCATACACACCTGTAATTAATAACACTTTTCTCGCTCTAGAGAGTCACTCTTCGGCCTAGGTCAGTCAAAAAATACCGATAAACCGTATTTGAGTGCCGTAAGCGTGGCCATCAGGAACATGACAGAGGCTCCGTTGTGCTGTTCAGCGCGGCTGTGGCAATAAAGAGACTCAGCTTCCATCCCATTGGATTTTAATTCTCTTTTCTCCTAGGGAGTCACAGCGTTGCTTTTGCTGAAGACGGGCGATACAGTGGTTGGCACTGGAGGAGGGATCGTAGCTCTCTGTAAAGGCTCCAACTACAAAGTGATGAAGTGAGTTTGTAGACGGGAGAAGCGGGAGGGCAGAGGTGACAATTCCCCCAAAGGCTCCCAGTGCAAGAACCCATCATTCCTACATAAAGGCATCATCCACATAAATCTCAGTTTTTCAGTCCTGCAGAAAAAATAGACAGTATGCTTCCAGTGTAATGAAGCTGAAGCAGACTGAAAATTGCTGCATGTGTTTGCACAGAAGTGAATTGCCCTGCTCATCCGTCATTTTAAACGGCCGGTGTTTCCTTTTGGCCATTAGGAGTCAGGTCCTAAATTGGTGCAAAGTGAGACAGGTCTGCTGAAGTCAGGGAAATTACACTTATTTGTGCCAGCTGAGAAAGAGTGGTATTTGCCAGCTAAAAAAGGGTTTGCTGGAGGACATGGGATTGTAAAGGAGGGGTTTGCTAATTTTATAGGCTCGTGTCTGGGAGTGCTGAAGTACATGCAAAGCTTTTTTCTGCATACAAAATAGAAAGCCGCGGGCGTCATTTCCCTGAATGTGATTTGAAAATAGGGCTCGCAGCTATTCATTTTGCATTGTTTGAGGAGCCAGCTTAAGCGTACAGTTCTGCAAGCTTAGCTTTGTACAATTCAAACTATTCCCAGAAGATCTAAACTGTCTGGAAATATTCTTGACTATGGGATGTTTAAGTGCACTTGAGTAAGAATATCAACAAACATGCTGTTACCTTGGGCCCTGCTCCAGAAAACCAAGTCTCCGAAGCAGAGCCTGTGCAAGCCCTGGCAGAGCAGCAGATGGGACAGGCAAGATCAAATGAAGTATTAACCTGTGGCTGGGAATGAAATGTTAGTTGTGAGCACGTTCTTGCGTATTGATAGCACAGCCTAGTACAGAGTTTTTGGGGAAGCAGGGAAAGGCAAAGCTCTGTAAGTCAGGGAAGAAGGGAAGCTGGAAAATAAGTACCTCAAGGTCAACATCAGACCAAACGTCTGCTTTCTCTTAACAGGAAAATTCAAGTTCAAGGTGCTGTCACTTCCCTGACATCTAGAGGTCAGGGTCACCAGTTCTTCATAGGGACAAGTAACTGCCAGATTTATCGAGTGAACTACACATCATTTAAAGAGGAGCTGATCGCTGCCTGTCACCACGAAGCCGTCCATGACGTTGTTTTTCCTGTGTGAGTATCACTGGCAGGGATGCGTTTGGCTGGTAAAGGCATTCGAGTGAGCTGCAGGTGAGGTCAGGACACTGGCGTAAACACCTCTTAGCCACCAGGAACCCAAAGCCTGTTCACATCCTTACGGGTGTGAAATGCAAAGGTGACAGTGAGCGGCTGCTGGGAAGCAGAAGGCAGCAGTTCAGTTGGAGAATTGGAAAAATCGTCCATCTGCAAAAAAGAATTCTAAATAAAAGGACTAGAATTCTTTATGTTTGGGTAACAGCAGTGGTGGCAGCCTCCCCCTTTTCTCCTGGGGCTGGTGTGATGGGAGCCAGGCTCCTCACCTGCCAGCAGTGTGAATGCTGAAGCTCTGCTGCTGGGTCCCCTGTCGCAGCTAGAGCTCGTCGAGGTGTCGTCTTCTCTGCCCACCTGTACCGGCAGCTGAAACCTGGCTAACAGAGCTGTTCAAAGAGCCTTTTTGGGTCTCAGCACCACTAATGATTCCGTGTTTGACAACATGGCATGTTCTATTAAATTCTAGGCTTGTGACGAGAGATGCTGGGTATACTGGTGTGTTTTCTGTCTGCTTTTGTCTTGTGAGCAGACAGCAAATGTTCTCTCTTCATGTATAGTAGGATTGTGACACTTTATTTTAAAAAACAAAACCACCACGGAGCGTTTTTTTCCTCTCCAAATAGAGAATGGGAGTTTGATCCCAATTAAAGTCTCTATTTTTGGCATGCAACAGCTGAATCACTTCTTGACGTGGCACAAAGGATCATATCTGATCAAGGTGCAGCGAAGTGCAGAATGCAAGAAGCCCTCCTCCCTGCTCGTCACCAGCCTGAAAAACCCACATCCTTCAAATTTAATGAGAAAATTATTTAGAGATTTAGGGTAATCTGGTGCTAATATACCCAACTGACACATCTGCATCACAGGTAGGAGGATGAGCTGGATTTAGTGATGATTGTAAGGACTACAGGACCACATCCTTGCACAGATGTTTCAACTTTTTATCTGTTACCTGCTCTTAAACAGAGCATATCGCTGATTGGGAAATAGAGGCTTAATTTCCCTGTTCTGGCTTATTTCAGAATACTTCAGTTGCTGATGTTATCCTGCTTTATAAAGCACCTGCGCAAGCTGGGCTTGAAAGGGGCCACACTTTTATTGTGCCATTTCTCTCTGTCCAGGTTCATCTTTCTGGGCGTTGATGGTGATGTTGAACAAAAGCTTGTGGTACCTTTCTAGATTTCACTGCCTGTCAGATCCCTGGGATGTATAGTTTAGAGATGATTTCAAAGCACCCAGTCCCATAGCTTTTGAAATGCTGGAGGTCTTTTTCTTATTCAAACGTGTATAACAAGTACATTACGAACAGGCTTTTTCTGTCATTTCTATTGCCTTCAGCAATGTTGAATAGGAATCATCTAGTAAGCAAGATAAAAAATGACATCTTTACAATATGAGGCTGCTGTTAGTCCCTGGTGTTAAATCTGGGCGGTCGGCACCTCTACACCTACTGTTGTGTCTATTATGTACATCACGTGAAGTTGCTTAGAGATTGAATATGGGAAATATATGTCACAGCTTCAGAAAAGTAGAAAGAATTCTTTTCGTTTCACTGTAAATGTTCCTTAAAATGAATCTTCGAGTAGAAACCAGAGCAGGGTAGACTTTACATGAGGAAGGTGATCCTACGAAAAAGGCCGTTGTCTTGACCATGGTGATCTCTGCTGGGAAGGTGACAGTTGCACGTTAGAAACAGCTCAGCTTTGAAGGATGATTTAAGATCTGACAAGGAAGAAGTGTTTTCTCTATGCCCCTCCTCGTCATCACTCCTCTCTGAATTTTCCAGGGGAATTTCTGACCTGTTCGTTACCTGCTCCAAAAATGACATTCGAGTTTGGTACACCCCAGAGCACAGGGAGCTTCTACGGATCATCGTCCCCAGTGTGACCTGCCATGCCATAGAGGTCATGAGGGATGGCAAGAGCATCATTTCAGGTAACGGTCAGTCCAGACCCATGGCTCAGTCCAGTCTTCAAGTGCTGCCAAATGTCATGAACATCAGTATGTTAGAATGAAGAGAGGGTTACATTGGGAATGGGTTTAAATACAGGTCACTGCTTGTCCCAAAGGGCTCTTTGCTTGCAGCTGGGCTGATGGACTTTGCTCACAGCCCCGGTTCCCTAGTGCTGTGGTTACGGTGTCTGTGGAAGGCACGGTTTGGAGACCTTGCTTTGGATGTGAATTCCAGCAATTCAAAATGCAGTTCAGTCTCATTCAAAAGACCTAATTCTAAAATATTAACTGTGTATGCAACACACCTGTGGTGTATGTAAAGCATCTCTTGCATGCAGCTGCTGCCCATCGCCATGAGCAGATGGGTTACCCAGGAACTCCTGCAGTCCTGGAGCAGAGATGGAGCCCCCCTTTGTTACCAAAGCCATTTGTCCATAGCCAGAATCAAAAAGGAATTAAATTTTAATAGTTAATTTGGGACTGTTGCTCTGCAGGTTCACCTACGGTACAGTGGTTTTCACGTGTATACTGGTGATCTAACAGGATGCGCCTTATAAAGGAACTTCATAAAAAAACAGGTTCCATTGGAAATAATATGAGGAATGTCTGTGTGCCTGGGTAATCTGTTTCTTTATGTTCATCAGCTTGGAATGACGGGAAAATCCGCGCCTTCGTGGGTGACACTGGCCAGCCCCTGTACGTGATTGACCATGCCCACAGCCTGGGAGTGACGGCAATCACTGCCACGAGCGACTGTAAACGGATCATTAGTGGAGGAGGTGAAGGGCAGGTAATTTTTGCTTAAAAACCTGGAGCAGCTTTGTGCTCCCATCACAGGGCCTGCGAAGTGTCTGTACCTGCTTAGTCAGAAAGTGAGCTATTCTTAGCTTTCACCTGAGCAAGGGACCCAGTCTGACGATATTAGCTTCTGATATATGCAAATCTCTTGCTCTCAGAGGGCATCATGTAAAACAATGCCCCAATTTCTCCTGGCATGGTAAGCTTGGAAATCCTTCTAATGCAGAATATGCTCTTAATCTTTTTTGTTTATTTGTCTCTCCCCTGTGTTTGGCTTATTTGCATTAGCCATTGTTTGCAAGCCACCATCTAACTGTGCTCTAGCACAGATTTTCTTTCTGTCATTGCCTTGGAAGTCCTAGTCCTGTCTAGATTGGCCTGTATGAATTTATTAATAGCACACAGTTCACTTTATATCGTTACAGTGTCTATGGGGTAACTTCCTGATTTTCTGGGATGGTACTCTGGTTTAGGTGGTGGTTTTAATAAAAGACTAATAATAATTCAGTTTCTAGTGCAATTATGGAAACATTTCAGTACAAATAACAATGACAATCAGGAGGCGTGTTGTAGGCATGATACCTGTGCACTTCAACAATTGTTTTACAGCGATACAAACCCAACACCGTGTACTTTGGCTGCTCCATGCGCTTTGTGTAGACATGGCCCTTTTCAATCTGTAGAAGTGAAACTTCTATCCTAATGTTTAAATAATTTAAACACAGGGGGTTTTATTTGTATTAAAAATAAATAACCAGACTTGGAAGGCTCGTGTTCAGTTTCTTGTCTTGCTTTGGGCTTGCTCCCTGCAGTCTGACAAGGAACCAGACATTTAAGAGCATGTGGGGATTCCTGACTCTGATTTATCTGCCCTGTGCTTTGTTTGTGTGCCCTGATCTCAAGCGGTCAGCGTGCCATGCTGGAGCTGGCACGGGAAGCCTTGAAGAGTGAGGAATTGCACTTGGGTCTTCCAAATCTCAGGCTAATGTCCTAATCATTGCACCATCTTTCTGAATCGTTCCACACCTCATCTTTCCCATAGAGCAGTACAGGCAGCACTGCCGTGTCTCACTGTGTAGAGACATGCGGGATGATGAGCCACGTCAACCCTTCACTAATAAAAGAACAGTTAAGTACCGTGGGTGATGAGCACTAGAGGATGCAGAGGATGAGGACCTAGATTCTGAACCCACACACACAGAATGGCACAGGGCTCTGGTTAGTTCATCTCTGGATTGGCAAAGACAGCCGACGATGGGATTAAAGTGGAAGGTTGGTTAGGCAGAAATGAGAAGTGCAGGGGAGCACTTGCAGTATTCATTTGGAACACAAAAAAAGGTGTTCTGAAATGCTGATAGTTCTGTCAAAATCAGTCTCCTGAAAGCTGTGACTGTCGGGGTTGCTTAAGGGATCCGGATGCTCTGATCATTTCACCAGTGGGAACTGGACATCCAGATCCCGGAGGTAACTCAGCAGCAGACTTGAAAACATGAAGGTCAACGCTCTCTGCTTTTGACATCAGTGTCTGAATTTCTAAATTTTCACTAGGATTTGACCTTAACGGAAGGTAAAAGCAAAAAGGTATCACGAAGTTTGGCACTAGTGGGGCAGTAAATGCAAGGTGTGAAGGATCACATCCTCAAAGCAGAAAGGTTTTTGCTGTTACCACCGCTGGGAAGAGGTGCTTTCAGACACATATTTCACATCAAAGATTTAAAGAGCTGGTTTGTATTTACTTGCTGGCATTATATGGAGCACAAATAGCATGTAGCTTTTTTATATTCCATTTTATATGCCATTGCAGAAGCCTTGCTCTTTTATCTTTAAAGCACTGCTGGAAGTATCTCATGGACTACAAGCTTTTTCCTGACCAAGAGTGTGTAAGCTGAAGCACGGGAGAGCAGGAACTTGGCAAAAACAAGGTCTGGGGTCATGAATTCCTGAACCAAGTGGATTGCACTCTCAAGAACTCATATCAGTTTTACGAGTCAGCTGCATGAATAACCCACAGGAAAATAGAGACAGTCCGTTGAGATCCAGTCCCTGTGGGTGTTATAAGAGAAACGCAGAGCTCTGGAGTGCCGTAGGCATCCTCCTGAGCTCAGTCAGGACCAGGTGGTCCAAGAGCAGATGTTTGTTGCTGATTTTCAGGTGAGGATCTGGGAGATTGGCAAAAAGACTCAGAAACTGGGGGAAATTCTGAAGGAGCATGTGTCTGCTGTGTCCTGCATTAAGATTACAAAGAATGACCGGGAGTGTGTCACAGCCAGCCTCGACAGAACGTGCATCATCTGGGATATTGTGTAAGGAGCCAGATAAGTATTGCGAGGCACTTGGAGCGCCGGTCATGTCTCTCTCGGGTCACCGTGCCCTGTTTAGAACAGCACATAGCGAGAAGGAGGAGGGGAAAAAGACCACTAGGAAATAAAAATTACTAGAAAGAACAATCAAGTCAGGGAATATAGAACCTCCAATGCCAGAAACTTTTCAGAAAAGTTTCAACAAACATTCGTCTCAAGTTGTTTGTTTGTATTGGCTCCTGCTTGGCCCAGGGGCTGGTGCAGGTGGTTTCTGAAGTTTCCCACCAGCTCCGTTTTCCAGCACTGTATGACTCTTGTCAAGCTGTGGCAGCTCTGCAGGCTTTCTGCATTGTGGTAAGGATGAGGACATTTTTGCAAAGGGAATAGCACCTAGGAAGTATTCTGGATTTAAAAATTTAATTTCATATGACAGCAGATCGAAAGTCGTACAAGGCGGCTGTGCTGGGGAGCAGAACTGATGACCTTCAGAGGCTTCAGGAAACCCTGAACCCAGACCAATGCCTGAAAACATCCATGCAGAGCGAGAGGTCTGATGTCTAGCGCAGGCAGAGATAGTTCAGGCAGTCAGAGTTCACTCTGTGACCCTATTGCTCTGTCCTGGTTTGGGGGTGTTTTGCAGGCGTTTTACAAGAAAACAAATGATTCTTGCCAACACGCTGTTCAAATGTGTGTGTTACCATCCTGAGGAGCACCAGATCATCACCAGCGGAACAGACAGAAAGGTAAGCAAACCTGCAGGAATTCTGCTTGCAGCCAGTCCAGAACACAAAGTCTGGCGCTTGTTATGGGGTGGAACTCCTGTCCGTCCCCCGGAGGGTGTGTTACGGGGCAGTGCTGGAGTCTGGGGGCTGTTCATGCACGACCGAGCCCTCCGCTCTGCTCCGCTCTGCTCTCTAGATCGGGTACTGGGAAGTGTTTGACGGCTCTGCAGTCAGAGAAGTGGAAGGGTCTGCATCGGGTTCCATCAACGGGATGGACATCACCGCGGACGGGGCATACTTTGTCACAGGTGAGTGGGGGGATGACAGTAGAGGAGAGGAGGTCGTATTAAGGGCAGGAAAAGGAAGGCAATGAACCAAGGATGTCAGTAAGGAAAGAAAAAACTCAAAGGAGGGGTCAGCTAAAGGGGAAAATAAAATGAGTCACTGAAAAAAAATACTTCTCAAAAGGCTGTGGTTCAGACTTGGAAGATGCAGTGGTTCAGTCTTGCAAGATGTAATGTGAAGGTGAAGACAAGGTTCAGATGTCTCCAAGGGTTTCTCCTTGCCCTGCTCCTTATTTAGCTCAGCCGTGTGCACCACGCGTTCAGATGTCTCCAAGGGTTTCTCCTTGCCCTGCTCCTCATTTAGCTCAGCTGTGTGCACCACGTGTTGGAGCGGTTTGTTCACGTGCCCCTCTCCAGCAGCGTGGCCGTCTCTGCCGGTGTGCTGGTGGGAATGGCTCCGGGCTCCATCAGCCTCGGGCTCACACCTTCCCCACCATGGTGACATCTCCTCTGGGAGCCTGGCGCTAGCTCCAAGGGTTTCTCCTTGCCCTGCTCCTCATTTAGCTCAGCTGTGTGCACCACGTGTTGGAGCGGTTTGTTCACGTGCCCCTCTCCAGCAGCGTGGCCGTCTCTGCCGGTGTGCTGGTGGGAATGGCTCCGGGCTCCATCAGCCTCGGGCTCACACCTTCCCCACCATGGTGACATCTCCTCTGGGAGCCTGGCGCTAGCACAGACGAGCTGTGGTATCGTGTAGATACAGATTTGATGTTGGCACCAGTTCTTTTAGGTTAACCTCTTAAAGCAATGTTGGTTAAGAGCCTTCCGAAGGCTCTCTGTATTGTCAGTACCGATTGCTGGCCATGGCTCACTGTGACCTGCCAGGGCCGGTCCTGAGCGCTCTGCCAGGCACCGGCTCTGCTTCAGTTGAAAAGAAGCTGGTTTTGCCATAATGCCCAAGGCAATGTATCCCACTCTTCCCAAATCAGATCAATGCCTAAGCGCTCCACTGCCTGCGATCTGGGAACAAAAAGCAACAACTCTTCCCAAATCAGATCAATGCCTAAGCACTCCACTACCTGCGATCTGGGAACAAAAAGCAACGGAACTCCGTGTAATCATTTGTTCTTCCTCTGTGCCCACTGCAGGCGGCGATGACCATCTGGTGAAACTGTGGGACTACAACCAGGGCACGGTGACGCACGTTGGGGTGGGCCACAGCGGCAGCATCACCCGGCTCAAGATCTGCCCCGGGAACAAGTACATTGTGAGTGTGAGCGCAGACGGAGCCGTCCTGCTCTGGACATACCCGGCCTCGCGGTGACAGCGGGCACAGGAACTGCTGGGCGGCTGCTTCCTCCACCAGATCCTTCTCTCTTTCCACTGAAGTTCTTTTAAAGCGTTTTTACTCTTAGAGGAGATACTGTTTTTATAGTCTCTGGTATGCACTTTGTTTCTTGTAGTTTCACTTATACATCTGCTCATGTGTGGGCTCTCCCTTGCTTTCACGCAGTCTCTCGTTCTCTTCCCTACCCCCTCTTGTCCCTTCCATTAATGAATGATTTGTTGTGTAAATTCAGTCTTCTGTGTTCATTTTAATTTGGTCCTGATTGAGGAAAAAGCCCTCAGCTCGAACTCGGGCGTTTAACTGGGAAGCGCTTTTGAGTCAAGCTTTTAAATCAGGGTTCTCAAAGGAATATCAGGACGTCGGGGCTTCTCCATTTGCCATGTCAACTTTAAAACTCTCTTCAGGGGCCTGGTTTTCAAGAGTGAGACTGCAGTCATTTCTGAAAGTGCCTGGGTGTTCCTAGTGAGACACGCTGAAACTCCTGGTCATTGGCCTAATTTTTCAAACAGGCTCCAAATTTGCATGAAATAGGTATTTTGTCTGAGAATGAGTACCTGGCGTCATATCTGGTATGAAAACCACCAGCTCTCAAGATACTGTTTGTTTAAAGCTCAGTGTGGGCAGCCAGCCTGGGAAGCGATGGAAGTGAAGGAAATATCACTTTTGCAGATAGTGAAGGGCTGGGAGAATTGTCATAAATTGAAACTGTAGGAAAATGTTGCACTGCTCTGTGTTAGGGCTTTAGTTAACTGAGACCATGATTTACAGGCAGTGCCAGCTAGGTACTGTCGTACCTGTCCTGATAGCGTTAACTGTTCCGTATGCAATGAGGGATAGCAATTTAAAGGTACTAGTGCTTATTATTTTTTAGATGCTGTTAAAAATGTTTACTGCTCCTAGCACAGTAAGGGTGGATCCTTTGGATGGGCTGGAGGGGTATCTGTGCACATCCACTGTCCAGCAAAGACTGTGCAACTTCTGTTCCTTCTGGCTGGAATATCTGCTCTTATTAACGCAGTCTTGAGCGAAGGAGTGAGGCCATTCCTTCCTCTTTTCCTCTGGAGTCCAGACTGGATGCTGTGCAGCGATAAACACTCAGCAGGTTTTACGAGCTCTGCGGCGCTGTGGCTGGGGTTGGGAAGGCAGGCACAAACCGCTGGAATGTGGGACCGACCAGCACAACATCTAGGCTTGTGCTGGGGAATGAGAGCAGCCGTGGAGTGTGTGAGAGCCAACCTGGCCATCCCCAGGTCACCCCCACCACCCCGTGTGAGAGCCAACCCGGCCGTCCCCAGGCCCCGGGTCACCCCCACCTCCCCGTGTGAGAGCCAACCTGGCCGTCCCCAGGCCCCAGGTCACCCCCACT